ACAGAGAATGATTGGCAGGAATCAAGATACATAGGCCTGGCAGAGAGACAGAAAAATATAAACCCAATCCAACCCCAGCTAGGGTGGTCTAGACCAGAAATCTGTCATGAGAATAGAGACAGAGGACACAAGCTTTGAAGTCCCAACCACCCTGGTGGCAGCAGCACTGGGTCCCCAGCCAGCTATTCCAATTATTCGCAGAAATCAATTTCATTCCACAGAGGCTCAGATAAAACTCATGTTGCCAGACGACAGTAATGGATGAGAAGCTTAGGGTGAGAAGATAAGAGGGGGCCCAGAGTAGGATGATCAGGTGGGGCTTTGCAGGCTGGGGGCAGTGTGCTTAGAGGTTATCGAAACATTCCTTCAAATAGCAAAGGTTCAGTGCTAGCCAGATCAACTGTGACCTGTGTGTGGAGGGGCAAGTCAGCCCCTCCCCAGGCCTGAGCCATGAGGCCCAGATGGAAGGTCCTTGAGTATTATTCCCACCAATAGGGAGAAACTAATTCAATCTCAACTGCGGTGGAGCCACAAAAGATAAGTCTATGAAGCAAGATGCTCTCTGAGGCCCTGGCCATCTGAGGACTAGGAATTGTGTGTGTGTGTGTGTGTGTGTGTGTGTGTGTGTGTGTGTGTGTGTGTGTGTATTTCTCTGTGTATGTGTGTGCACGCACACGAGCTCACATGTAGCACTAGGAAAAGAATGGTTCCTTTGCAGCACTCAAAGAGGGAATAGGGAGACAGAGAAATGCTTGTTTTGTCTCAACTGAGCAAGGGCAGAAAGGCTGAGTCCCTATCACACCTGCTGGGAAAAGATCCCAGCAGCCCTCCTCCATAGACATAGGACAGAAAGTGATGTAGAAGAAGGGGTTTTCCAGGGGAAGCGAAGGACCATGAGAAAACTGGGGTTCACAGAGCAGGATGGGAACAGGAGGAGGAGGATGCCCAGGTGAGCGATCAGAGGGGGAACCACAGATTAACCCCAACAGTAAATCACTGACTCTTATGTCATGCTGTTCAGCCTGCTGGGCATCACCCTGTGCGTCTCACACAAAGTAACCAGTGTCATCCTCATGACCACCCTCACTTTTCACCAGAGGAGACCAAAGCTTTGAAGTGAAGTAAATGTTTTGGGAACATATTTAGTGTTCCCAAAGCCACAACTAGAGAGGATGAAGCTGACATATGGATGCAGGCAGCCCAACCTCATCACATCACTACAATATGGTCCACTTACAAAGGGCTTGTTCCACGCAAGACTAACACAAGCACCCATAGATGCATTGTATCACTCATGCCTCAAGCAGCTTGTGCCCATTGTGTGAAAGAAACTGAGGCTCAAAGAAGCAGTTTGACCACAGTTGCATTTCAGAGAACTGACAAGGTTGGCAGGTGGACCTAGCCCTTTCCCAGGTCACCTCTAGATCTTCCCTGATGAAGAGCTGAATAGTTGTGTTGGGGCATCCCCCAGAGGAAGACAGGACTGAGGATCAACCCCATCCCACTCTGTTCAGACAGCTTTTCCTCACAGTTGCAGGTTGAGGCAGCCGGAGGTTGGCCTGAGAGGGCCCATCTACCAACACTCAAGGCTGGGAGAAGATAACGCTTTTTATCTCTGCAGAGGGTTCAATAGTTTATTCCCATCCAGGGCAGTAGGGTGCCTGGTGCCCGTTCTTGGAAGGTGTCCAGGACAGATGTGAGGTACTTCCTACCCTTTTCTCTAGCACGTGCTCCTCTCCACACCCCACTGTCACCATCAGGAAACATCTTGGATGCAGCACGTCTACACAGGCACCAGGTCCAGTGGAAAATAACCACCTTGAGCTCAGAGCTCTGGCAAGCAAGACAACAAACTGGAAGGAATTTCACAGCTCTGGAGTGGTCCTAAACCAACTTGCTTTCCTGGCTCTACTGCCTTCTAACTGTGTTCGATTAAGCTACTATTACATCTCACTTTATTATAACTCCTTCTTGGATGGTTGCTGCCAAGACTAGAACAAGAAAGATCAAGTAGGAACTGGAGAGGGGGCTCAGCAGTTGAGAGCATTGGCTGCTCTTTCAGAAGACCTGGGTTCAATTCTCAGCTCCTACATGAAGATTCACAATCATTTATGACTACAGTTCCAGGGTATCTGATACCCTCCTCTGGTCTCCTGGAGCACCAGGCATGTGTGTGGTGCACAGAGACATACAGAGAAAACACTCATACATATGTAGTAGTGGTAGTAGTAGTAGTAGTAGTAGTAGTAGTAGTAGTAGTAGTAGTAGTAACCCAGCTCTGAATCTGGCCTATAGCTGGGAGTGGAAAATTACCCCTCCTTTCCTGCATGTATCACATGAATTTGACTACAGTGAATAAAGCAAACCCCACTGCAACCCCCAAAGATAGAGTAAGTAAATCCACCTCTCTTTCCTAACACTCTCTAATGCTCCCCACACCCTGCAGATGATGAACCACACCCCTTTGGCCTAGTATCCAAGGGCCTCTTGGGTACCCAGCTCTGGTCTCCAGGCTCCAGGTGACTCACTGCCCCTGAACAAAGCAGCCCCTATCTTCACCCTCCAGTACATCCTTCAAGGCCTAGATCATCTGCCGCCTCCAGATCCCTGAGGGAGAATGAATCACTTGCTCCACTGTGCTCCCATAGTTCTGAGCTCATTCTTCTTTGTGCCGTGGACACAGATGCAAGCATCTGTGTACCAGTGAGCTCTTACGAGTCAGCAAGAGTTATCCCCATCGTCTCATCAAATGCCCGGCACAGATTTGCAAATGATGGCTAATCAGTGAATTGGCAAATCTTGTAGAACACCCTGGAATGGAAGCAACTCCTTTAAATGCTTGCCTAGTCCGTATACCTTCTTTTGCAGATGCAGAGTCCTAGGCCTGGAGCCTAAAGAGGGGCTGTGAAGGATAGAGGGTGTTGAGAAGGGAAGGACCAATGGACAGGTCCAAGGTTGCAGGATGAGCTAGCAGAGGAAGCTCTGGAATCTGAACCTCCAGCGCAAGACTAAAACAAGGATGGTCGTGTCTGCTTTACAGTGGGTAGTCCAAGATCCTCCATGGCCCTCCACTGCCCTCTGGATGAAGGTCAAGTTATCCTGACTTCCTGGTACCCTTGGAATGTGGTCTGCACCAGTCTGTAAACCTGCTGTCCTATTAACTGACTGCACATTCTGGTCACACAGTATCACGCTGGAATCACTCTGGAAGGCCCTCTCCTCAGCTTCTGGGCCTCATTTGCTGTTCTTTTCCTGGGAGGCCCTTCTCTTTCACCAGCCTAGCCGAATCTAACATCCTCGGGTATAGTTTGAGGTGTCCCTTCCACTGAAAACTTTCCCTCGTCCCTTCCCCTTCATTCTTTATCTTTCAACCTAGGGTGTGGCTGCCTCTCTACATTGGCAGGGCATCAACCACATCAGAATCTGGCAACAACCAACACAGGTTGGAAAGGAATGAGAATGAGCTATTGAGCAAATGAATGAATGAATGAATGAATGTACAAATGAATGAAGTCCTAGGACAGGAACTCCAGGCCATAGGTAGAAATACTGTTTATCCCAGTGCTTAAGAGAAGGCTCAGTGGTTAAGAACACTCACTGTTCTTGCAGAGGGCCTGAGTTCAGTTTCTAGCACTCAGGTCAGGTGGCTCATACTTATTTGTAACTTCAACTCCCAGACATTTGACACCCTTTTCTGGCCTTCATGGGAAGCTGCATTTATAAGCACATAACCATGCATAGACACGCATGCATACATACAATTAAAAATAAAATGTCTTTATAAAGGGAATACTGTTAACCACAAAGCAAATTCAGATTCTACATGAAAAGAAAAGGCTGAGTAAAGAGGAGGTGCACGAAAGGCATTTAGGACAAGCAGCAGAACTGAGCTAAGTTAGCAGGAAGGGGAGGCATTCCACAAGACCCAAAGAAACAAAATCCCATTTATTTGCCTGGACTTTGCTTCTACACCCACTGATCTCTCTTATTTCTGGAGAATCACTGAATCACCAAGTCAACATTAGGAAGGAAGAAAATTGGACCAGGTCAGCCAGCACTTCAGCCTGTCTGCCTTTGCCATGCTTACAGGCATACCCATCTCTGCCAGCCAGATGAGGCTTCTTTTCAAGTTGTGTATTTGAAGGACATTTCTCCAGATGGGAAAGCCAGGAGACCACTTGAGGCAGGAGGAAGTACTCATGGAGGCTGGAGTGGGTATGGCTTTGTTCAAGTAGAAGAGTCCAAGATAAGACGAGATAAATCCAACCGAATACCATGATGAAACCCCCACATCGCAACCCTATAATTCAATGTCCTTATATTCCAGGCACATACAGTTCCCCTCTGAGAGTTTACAGTCCAATATCACTGCCTCCAGGACAATGTTTGCATGGCTCTATGCTGACATGATACAAGCCCTGTTCTCTGCAGCCTCAGAGTCATCACAACCACCCTTCACAACAGCTCTTCAGGGCTGTTCACACTCCAGAGAGAGTGCTTCAGGCCTCTGGGTGACTGTTGCTCCCTCCCTGCTGCAGGCTTCAGCTCTTTCCCTGGAAGCTGCCAGCTCTGTTCCACATTCCCTGGCTTTAGGCAAATCCCTACTTAGGCACCGGAATCTTTGTCTGGCCCAACTACATCCAGGTATCACATAACTTCCTGTTATGGATGATACCATTTAGTATTATCATGTCTTTCTTATTCTTTGCTATGGCTTATTGCCAAGCACACAACCTGCAACAATGGTAGGTACTCAAAAACTGTTTACTAATATTTAATAAAGGAGTTTCTGGAGAGTGCTATGGTTTGGATACTGTTTGAGTGTTAACTACCCAAATTTATGTATTTGAAACTTGTTCCCAAGTGAAGTAATGTTGAGGTGGAAGGAGCTTTAAGAACTGGAGCCTAGGGCAAGGTAATTAGGTCAGAAAAGACTGTTGTTCTGAGTGGACCCCCAGTTAGTTCTTACCAATGCAGGCTATTGTAAAGTAGTTACCAACCTACGTGGCCGTTTCCTTCCCATTGCTCCATTCTTCTGATGCAGCCAGAATCAGGAGCCAAACAAACTTCCATCCTTTAAAAAAAATAACAGAACATGATCGTCTTTCTTATAGCAATAAACAGACTAGTATTGAGACCTTGAGAGGGAAAATTTTGGAACTTTTGCATCATTCCCAGTGTCAGCGTGTTGGGTCCCCATTTCTTCCTACAAAGTCTATATTGTTGGAGGAAGGTTCCATTCATACCTCAGGCTCATCACAACAGCAGGACTTTTTCTTACAACCCCAAACAGTGCAGGGATGGTAGAGATGCTCTCTCATTCCCACCCCAGCTGCAAAGGCCACACCACTCTGCTGCTGTCCTGTTTTACAAGCCTGGGAAGGACCGCCCCCTCCACACAGGACTCATAGGGCCTGCTTCACCTACTCAGAGGCAAGGTCTCCTCACTCCCAAGCTCCATCCTTATTACAGCTGAACAGAGCCACACCCAACCTGGAGCCAGAGAGGTAAAAGGACCCATGGAGCAAGTCCTTTGCAATTCTCCATAACTAACACCCAGATACTATGGTAGGGAAAAGAATCTGACGTTCTTGAAACACCAAAAACCACAGGATCTCAAAGTTCCAAAGACCTTAAGAGAACACCTAGTCATAACTCCCTAGCTACCTTTCCCAGCCCCTTATAGAAATGGGAAAACTGAGGCACAAAGATGGATGAGAACTTGGTCAGGTACACAAAGCTCCAGTCCTCAAAAAACGTATATGCTCTTTGGAGATGGAGATACTCAGTTTCATGGATGAATGAATGAATGAATGAATGGGAGTTCACATCAATGCACCGAGGGCTTCTTTTCAGCCTCCCTTTAGCAGCACACCTTCTAGGACAGAGAGCACAGGAGGCAGTCCTGGTTGGTCTCGGTGTCGGATAGAACTTCTCATTCCTGAGTCTGAACAAGCCTCTCTGCCCTCTCTGGACTCATCTGGGAATTCCCAGGGCTGGAGCCTTTGTGTGCATATTAATATGGGAGAGAAAATGAAGAACGCTGTTTTTCTTAGAATTCTCTTGGACAGCAGAAACTAAATCAGCAGTCCTCCTGAGAGAAAAGCTATGGTCTGAGTGGAGGGTGAGCTGGTGGGAAGTCCCTGGACTAGACTTCTCCGGCAGATGTAGAGAGTCACAGGTCAGGAACTTGAAGTTAGGGAAGTAGGAAGTCTTCCCTTCGTCCAACCTATGCAATTGGCAGGGCCTTCCATCCCTCCTTGATGACGCCATCAAATCTTCAGTAAAATGACAAAGCCCAGAAAAAAAAATCCCTGTGTAATTAGATTTTCATGGATAAAGGAGGAGGACAACGTTTTATGTCTGAGTCTGATGGTTTGACCCAGGGGAGAAAGGCTGCAGACCCTCAGCAGCTGGGACAGCAGACGTACATGATAACCAACTGCAGAGCATCTGAGCAGTTATGGCTCAGAAGAGGTATTACGAAAGCTACAGGGGGTATGGAAATCCCAAATGGCACAAGGGTAGTACAGAAGGATTTGCAACTAGTTCATCTCCTTATTCCTTCATGAGAAAGAAATGTATTAAATGCTGACTGCATCATTAGACACTAAGGTTTCTATTGTAAACTAACTAGACTTGGCATTTTGGCTATTAGGTACATGTTTGACTAAGATCTCTTAAATGGGTATCTCCCATCTCCAAAGAGCTTCTAAGTTCTTTGAGGACTGGAGCTTAGTTCTGCTTCTTTCCTGAGCCTCGACACCTGTTCCCTTTTCTCCATAATAAACAATGACCCTTCACACTGAGTGAGTGTCTAGTGATCTTATAAAGGTGCACTGTATCACTGTTAGCCACATTGACAGCCCAGTCATCTGAGCAATTAGAACAACCGTGAGCCCACTTGAATGTGTTTTCAATCCCTGCAGCTTAATCAGGTAGACCCAGAGGAGGAGTCAATCTGAATTCATCAAGTCTGTTCCTCTGCCTCTAGACCAGGCTGTGAGCTAGGGCTAGTTAGTATGAGTTACTTGTACAGCTATAAGAAAAGTGTACAAGTTAGAAAACTTAGATATGACTGGACTTGGCAGCTAGCCTACTAGTACTCAGTCATGGTCATTTCTCTTGCTTGGAATCTCTCTCTCTCTCTCTCTCTCTCTCTCTCTCTCTGCCTCTGTCTCTCTGTATCTCTCTCTCTGTCTGCCTCTGTCTGTCTATGTCTCTCTGTCTCTCTGTCTCTCTCTGTCTGCCTCTGTCTGTCTGTCTGTCTGTCTGTCTGTCTCTCTCTCTCTCTCTCTCTCTCTCTCTCTCTCTCTCTCTCTCATCTCTCAGCTCATTTGATCTTCCCAGTAAATAAGTTAAGTAAAGTGGTTTCTGCTGTCCCTATTTGACAGTGGAACACCAAAGCTTGGAGAAGTCAAGTGGTGTATTCAAGGTCACAAGCTGGTGGGTGGTGACACAGGGATTTGAGCCCAGGTCTGTCAGGGACAGAAGCTTCTTTCTCTGTCGGCGTCCCTTGGGTGCATACTCCAGATGCTGTTGCTCTGTATCTGACAGAGCATCATGGCTTAGCTGATTCATGAACTGATGGCCCCGGCCTCCCTGCAACCCTTGCCTGATGGATTAGTTGGCTCTTCTACCCCCGGCATCACTGGCTGGAGACCAAAGAGAGAACAAGAAAGCCGAGTGGAGGATAGGATGAGTGGGAGAGAGAGCAGAGGCAGAAGAGAGTATCTCAGCATCCATCACCAGGGCCAATTCACTCTGGGATCACACTCCTGGACCAAGTTCTCATCTGAAAATCTGTCTTGCCGACAACATGTCAGTCAGTCTCCAGGGTAAGCCACTTCCCAGGCTCCTCTGGCCTTAGAGCCTCCTGGGCTCCAGGCAAATAGGCAGCACATAGCCAGTTCTGACCAGGAGAAGAAGCAGGGACTTAGAGGTAGATGTCAGACAGGCTCACATGTTGGCACTGGAAGGATTGTCATGTCTGCTTTACTTTTTAAGACACTTCCCTCTTGCAGTTCTAAAGCTCCACCCTAAATTCCCAAAACTCCTTCTAAAGCCTTGTTGATGTTACTGGGTGTCTGGGATGTGATGCCTGGTCAGCATTTCTCCTTTGGCCTCATCCTCATCTCGGGCTGAGTCAGGAGCTCCTGTCCTCTTGGCTAGACATGTGTGACCACCACATATTCTGCCTTGTCACATCCTGTTATACACAGAACACAGAAACTTACCAGAAAGGAGGGAAAGAGGGGCCCAGGCCAGCAAGGGTGGGATCATGCTGTAGAGGTCAAATCCGGAGGGAAAGGCCCCTGCTGCAAATAAGTCTCTTCCCCCTTGCACTTGGAACTGCTGAGTGGTGCTGCTGTGGAGAGATATCCACTGATGGACGCTCAGGAGTGGGACCCCACCAGACTATGGTCACAAGCATGAATAAGATGTCTCAGCTCCCAAAGAGCTTCTGGGTGGTGGGGACAGCTCAGCAAAGAAATCATCAGAACCCAGAGTCATAAGTTTTCTTGGGAGGCTGGAGAAGCCCAGAGGAGAAAAAAAAAAGGGGGGGATAAGGAAGAAGAAAATTAGCTGGCTGAAAAGAGCTAAGACCCGGACCTAGAGCTAATGCACACCATACTGATATGGCTGATACGGCTGACCAGACTTGCAAATAGCAGTGATAACATCACTGTCCTCTGAACAGGTGTCTGAGGATTGTGGCTCAAGTGTGACCAGATGCTTAGGGTGCACAGGGAAAGCTCATAGAAAGGGCAGTGCTATAAAGGAGAGCATGTGATTGGGAGCACAATGAGCTGAGTGGATCTTAGGTCCATTCAGGCATTACCCCTGCCAAGAAGCCATCCAGTTGCTATATGGATTGTCCATGTCTGTCCCTGTGCCATGAGTATATGAGCTGAGTTTGTGAGAGTAGGGTCTGTGTTGCTCACTGAAACATCCTTAGTGCCTGCTGCCCAAGGCCCACGTGGATATACCCAGGAATAACTAATGAATGACAAAAAGCAGGAGAGATGACTTAGAGAAGAAATAGAAGGGAACTGACAAGCAGAGCTTGTGCCAGCCACTAGCCAGGTTATTTACATGGGTGATCAGGTTAGTTCCCAAACTCCCCACAATAGGCTGAGATGTACAGTGTTCATCCCATTTTCCAAATGAGGAAATGGGGCTCATAGAGGATTCAGGACTGGGCAGAGACAGGCAGCAGGAAGAGAGCAGTCCTGTGGTTCCCATGAATGATTCCACATCCCATCCGTGGATATGCAAGGCTCTTTTCATCCTCCTGGGCTATTTCCAATTGGCCTATGGCTATTTGGCTGGAACCTCAGGATCTAGAGGGCAGCCCCTCCCCACCCACTGGGCTACCCCAGCCCAGCTGTGCAAATAGACTCTGGCTGGGCTGTTCCACTGAGGGTTGCAGGAGGATGTAGCCAGTCTGTCAGGTCAGGATGAGCAGGGCTTTCCTGAGAATAGTTCCAATCCCAAGGTAGCCTAGAATACAATCTTCCAATGGCAGGAGAGAGACTATGACCTTGACTGCAAAGCAGTCAACAGTGTGCCACTAGAAATAACTGTTCACCATCTGCCTCTGTTCCAGGTCCATAAGGACCTTGCTTGGTCTGACCTGCATTGACCTGGCAACATGAATCCAAGGGTCTTACAGTGAGCCTCATATGTACGATATCAGAGCCTATGAGGCTACCATTGCAGCACACTGTCTGTGAGTGCCAGTGGAAGAAGAGGATGCCCGATGACCTCGTTGGCCTATGCTCCCTACTTTCCCACATCTTTTTCCTCCATTTCCTTTGTGCCCCAGAGTTACCCTTCTCCACCACTAGCCTCCTCACCCCTTTCCCTGCTGATGGGGCCCAAATGCAAGGCCAGAACCACAGCAGACGTTACCATGAGGATCCTGTCAAAGATTGCACAGGACACCAGAGTGGGTTCTAGAAGAGGCCAGCCTGCAGAGACCACTTGCAGGGTACCCACTGCCTAACACTCACCATCGGAACTTCCCAGCATACATTTCCTTAACTGAGTGATTATTTTTCCTGAAGGACC